ACTAGTCTTTCCACTGTGACTGATGCATGATTTCAGTTATAATTTGAAATATAATGTATAAATAATTTGACAAAAAGAAAATAGAATTTTCTTTCTTTACAATTTAGGTTCAATAAAGTGCTGTTTCCCCCAATAATTTAAACACTTGTGCAAGTTGTAAAGTTTTACCTTTACTGATGAATAAAATAGCAGTAAACAAACAAACAAAAAAATTCTGATGTGCTATTGAGTTTGAAATAAATACATAAAAAGGACACAGAGTACCTTTTAATCATGCTGTTTTAAAAGATAAAGACTAAAAGTGGGTCTTAAGACAAGACTTAAAACACTCCACTGATAAGGCTGTTCGTATGGAGGGGCAAAGTATTCAAATGTCTGGGGCTAACTGCAGAAAAGCTCTGTCCCCTCTGGTTTTAAGCCTTATCTTAGGCTCTATTAGCTGAAGACGGTCCTCAGACCTCAGAGCACGTGACAGAGAGTACATCTGGAGGAGGTCGGTAATGTATTGAGGTGTCATCCCATTCAAAGCACTAAATACCAATAATAAAACAATAAATTAAATTAAATTCTAAAGCCAACAGGGAGCCAGTGCAGAGATGCAATAATTGGTGTAATTTGTTTATATTTTTTGGTCCCCATTAAGAGAAGAGTCACAACGTTTTGGACTAATTGCAAACGGGAGAGAGCTTGTTGGCTAATGCCTGAATAAAGTGCATTGCAGTAGTCCAGATGGCTGGAAATAAAATAGTGTAAAACCTGCTCAAAAAAGGTTAATAGATAAAATCTGTATTACCTTAGATAAATGACTGAGATGCCAGTCTGTCTGCTTTGACTGGTCCAGGATTCTGGTTACACCATATGAAAGCAAAACTTTAGTTTTACAAGCTTTAGACTCTATGATATTGTAACTTGGAAATCATAATTTTTAAATTGATGTTATTGTACCTAAAGTTTGTTGCCTAAATGTTCTAAGTTTTTCTCAGTTATCCAGAGCTATCTCTATAGATATGCTTCTATACGCTTAGACTGCTGGAGGATATAGGGACCCCTTTTCATCACTCTGCTTCTTTCTATCTTTATTCTCCCACTCTGCAGAATTTGTTAGTTCAATCGCTAACGTTAAGCTCTCTCTGCTTTTTCTCATAGTTGCTTCATCTGTTCCTGTTTGAATTTGACACCATTCTGGAGATAAACATCAGATATGCTGCTGCTATCAATACCTCTGTTTATGGATGTTCGAGCTCTGCCCATTTTTTTGTGTATTCTGTTTTTCTGACTGTGACTGGCTGGATGTGCTCTCTTTCGTCCTCCGACATGAGAGCTGACTCAGAGCTCATTTGTCAGGGTGTGTGTTTCCTGGACGGGGCCGCCTGTGGAGCTGGTTGCATTTTGGTTGCATTTTGTACCTCTGCTTCTTGTTCTATGTCTGCTTCTGTCTCCTTGAACCTCTGTCGGCTTCGGCAGATGTGCTGCTCACACCGAGCCTGGTTGTGCTGGAGGTTTCTTCCTGTTAAAACGGAGTTTTCCCCTTCCACTGTGACTACAAGCATTCTTGTTGTCAGGGATTGCCTCGAGTCAATGAGCTGATGCAATCAACAGGTTTTCCTTAGATTGGAAACTTACAATCAATTTGACAGTATGATCTGGTTGAATTATAAAGTGCCTTGAGATGACACATGTTGTGAATTGGTGCTATATAAAAAAGTGAACTTAATTGAATTAACTTGTTTTTTTACAACAAGCAATGTCCCTTGTTGTGCCTTTAACATCACTTTTTTTGTTGTTGCATGTTTTGTACTTAATATCTCAAGATATAGGCTGATTAATTGTGTCTTAATCTAATCGGATATTTCAGGGCTTCGTTCATTATCTAGGCTCTAAGATGCACTGTTTTAATTTATACAAATGAGGGCTTTATGTTTACAATATTTAAAAAAGAAATAAATGTACAACTTACTTCTCTTTGAGAGATGCCACCGAAGGCTTAGTTACTTTGTTTAACCAGCCAGAAGAAGTTGGATTTTCTACAGACTTTTTTTATGTCTACGCACCAGAAGTAAAAATATAAAGAATTAGAAAATAAAATAAAATGATGTATGATTACAATAAAATTGCAATCATACTTTTTTTCTTGGAACCATATAAATGTACTTTTGTACTTGACAGTTGCAGTCTGCTGAACATATAACATAATACAAAAAAGCATAGAGTACAACCACAAAGAAGCACCCTTTCTCTGTGTCTCTCAGCTTTTTCAGTAACTTTTTAATTTATAACGAATGCAAAAGTGTTGCACCAAAGATTGTCTTATTCATAGTTCCCTCTTTCATTTCCAATAAAACATTTCCATGTCATGTCACACATATTAGCTATGATAAGGCATGAGACAGCACTTTATAGACCAAAAGTACAAAAGAGGAATTAAAAATATTTTTGTTTTAAAGCTAGCTTATATGTGATTATCACAAACGACATTTCATGTGAAATAAAGATTTAGCAGTTGTGAATATACAGTTTTTTATTATTTATGTTTTTATTTTTTTCTGTGGCGTGAGTGGGGAAACTAGGGAGGGAAGATATGATTGAGATTGTTTTTTTGTTTTTTTTCTCTCCCAGGTTGGGGTCTCAACTGCAACCTCTCCCAAATACATCTCAAGTCTCCGCTAACTGCGGAGCCCATTCCTCCCGTCTTGCTCACCCTCCGCTGGCTGGCGTCGGGGCTCGGCGGTGCACTGGTGGAGCTCGGGGTCTGGGGGTGGATGCCCGGGTGGCTGCTGGCTCATTCCTCTCCGCTGGCCCCGGCCAGCTGGGGCCTTGCTGGGGCTCCTGTCTGGGGGTTGGGCGCCCCTGGGGCCTCGGATCCCTGGGGCCCGGGACTGGATTCACTTCGGAGTGGGGCTGGGTGTTGTTCGGGGATTTTTGGTGCCGGTGCCTTCGCTTCGATGCAGGTTCCTGGGCAATGCTTTTTCTGATGCCGGTCTTGTGGTATCGGTTCGGGGAGGAGGGGAGCTGCACGGCATGGTGAGGTGCAAGTCTTGGGTTTTGTTTTGGGCTCTGGTTTTTCCGCTTGCATTTCTCCTCTTGCTTAGGGGAATTTTTATTTATTTTTTATTTATTTATTTATTTATATATATATATATATATATACATTCACCGGCCACTTTATTAGGTACCCCATGCTAGTAACGGGTTTGTTAAAGTGAGAAGGATTTGTCCCCTTCAAAGTAAAGGCTGTAACGCCCCGGGGCCTCCTCACACGGTTCTTTTCCTGGGAGCAAGTTATTTACTACTCTTAACTCAAACTCGGTAAAACCATATGAAAAAGGACTATAAAAACAGGAGTAAAAAAGTAACAGAGTTTATTCCAGATCAGGTCGTTACAAGACAGAGAAAAATGCTCAGAGCTATGCACAGCTGTGGTCTCAAAAATCACGTCCGCAAGCGTCCGGCAAAGTTTGAGCCCCGAACAACGTCATCACCTGCTTCTTATACCTTCTGAGTCTGTGTCACATCATGTGGATGCTTAGCTGTCCGTATCAGAAACTGACACGCCATCCATGTCTTGAACTCCATGCAGGTTGCCTCTCTGTCTCAGGGTTACAGATACAGCCGCTCTCCTATCAGACCGGCTCCAAGATGTGCCCATATCCTTTGTGCTCTTAGAGACACAAAGGCTGTCTTGATTAGATGACCTCCGTACACACCGTGATATCCACAATGTGAAGGAAGGCCTTCTGCTCTGTCTAATCTGACAAATTAACAGTGCACATGATGTATAAATAATAAACCCTAACAACTCCCCCTGATAAGTTACCGTTTTTACAGGTAACTTAAAAAAACACAGGAAGCGGCACATCTTCGAAGGACCGGGTGACCCAGAGAGCATCTATAATTAGTCAAGTATCATTAATTAGGAATCAAAAGTAATCACAATCAAAGCTTCACAGACCAAATGTTCTCACTCAATACCACAGTTTCAGCATTTAACTACAATTTGGGTGTCATCTAATTAAAGGAAAGCTCTTTTAGTTTCCTATGCGCACATTATTTTAAGTTACCTTAGACTAGATAACCTAAGCCTATAAATCCAATAAGGCCAAATTCATCTACTCTCACTCCCACCTGGAGGCCTCCTAAATGTGACCGCTCCTCATGGATAAACCATCTATCCAACTTTACCAATCATTCAGTCACAGTAGGGGACGTCACAGGACAGGTTGGGCCGTTCTCCACCGGAAAACGCTACCCTCTCTAAAAGGTAGTAAAAACCGGGGTGACCCCGGGGAAATCCCACTCTCGGCCAATCTGAGCAAGAAAACCCCGTTTTGAATCTGATAATTATCCTTACCAACTACTTAAAGAACCTGTAAGGTTCAGAGTCTTCCTACATCAAAGAAAAAGTGGCATAAAACGTGATCTTGGTGGGTCTGGAGCAAAATGTTTCCATGATCTTCATCAAAACAAAATCAAAATAAATCAAAACATATACATCACAATTAGGTTAAATCAAGAATTATCCTGGTCCGAGTTAAAAACAAATGATGAATATCACTGATGATGATGAATTCTTTCAGTGTCTCTATCACTCATCAATCAAATTAATCAATCAGAGTCTCGTATGGCCTCCTCCACGGCCACTTTGGTCTCCATGCAGTCCAGCGGCCGATAGATGCTGAATCCATGTGGTGGTTCTCATGGAATGTTCTCATCACAGTTCATCAATCTTTTCCTCCGGGAACCCTTCGACACACAGAGAGTGCAGTCAGTGTTCTTATCACGATAAACAATGTCTTCAATGAGCAATTCTTTATTCACTCAAAATCTAATTGCAGTCACAACCAGATATTCTTATCCACAATTACTTTCCCTTATCCCTTAAATCACCATTAACCTACATTTAAATTAATTTTCCATGGACTCTGTGTTTTTTCAGCAGATTATTTCAGTGTCTATTCAAAAAACAAAAAATAAAAATGAATAAAAAGAAATCCCCAAAAACATCATATAAGCCCAAAATCACTGCAACTAATATAATCTAATTCAAGGAACCTGTAAATATTTAGAAAACATTTAACCCTTTTTTACACATTGTAACACTCAATTCATGGATTAAATGAATGAATTTTAAAACCATTTCTACATCATAGCATATTAAGTTTTAGTCTCGTCTAAACTTGTAACTGCATTTTAGTTTACTGCTACACCCTCCCCAGAAAATTATTAGAAGTTCTTTAATCTCTAAGGAAAAAACCCAGCTTGGCGCAGATTCCCCCTATTAAAAACTCCCCCACCAGACCTTGTATCCGTGAATGTTAGTGCATGAAAGAAAACCTCATTCCCATGTGGACCCTTGTGTGTTCTTCCAGTCGTTAACCGTGTGTGGGCGTGTTGTTATGTGACAGTATGTGTGTGTGTCTATGTGAGTGGATCTATACGTGGGAAACTGGTCAGGAGCCATCCCGCTACTGGTTTGGAAGAAAAAGTGTTTCTTGGAGCAGTGACCCTCTCCAACATGCAAAAAGTTCGATGTTCGGACAAGTCCATCAGGTTTCCCTCTGTTACCACAGCAGCTTTGAACCATAAGAGTCTTGGGGCCATGTGTCCCCACACCCCCTGAAGGATAAGTCTTTACCTGTGTCATCAGCAGTATCACATAGAGGTAGAAGGAAACAGAGCGTTAAAGGTGTTCCTCCCTTCAAGAGGAAATGTCATATTGAATTGTTCATCTGCTCAGAGCACAGGATTGTACTCTGACTTGCTGCTGCATTCCCAAAACTCAGCAGTACACAGTTCCTGAAGGTGTTGAATTCGACTGCACCCCCTCTATGCAAAGTGTCCAGCTATAGTCCATTTAAAATATTCTCCAAAAAGCAGTGCTCCGATGAGAAAAAACAAACAAAACAAAAACAAAGAACAAAATAAAAACAAACGAAAAAAAATCTGTTCCAACATCCCCAGAACCAGTAAATAGTTGTCATATCTGGACCCCTGACCAGATCCAAAAAATGTGCAGGAAACATAATCTCTTCTTATATGTGTTATCTCAAATAAACTAAACACTAAAGTGTGCATCTCCTCTAAAGTATTAATTGCAGCTCTAGTGAAGTAAAGTCAGGTGTTCTTATTGCTTCATGCATTAAAAATATGGTTACCCATCCCCCAACTTGTATATAGCCCCTCAAATGCTATTTATAACTCTGCTCGCAGTAAAAAAAACAAAACAAGCAAAAAACAATTAAAATTTATCAAACCAAATAAAAATAAAATAAAAAGATAAAATAAATGGTGAAGTTTTAGTCCCTGGGCCTGATATTGAATCCCCATAAGCTCATTAACTCATTAAGTCTTCATCGTTATTGCTTATTTTGAAAAGAAACCATCATTTGCTTTAAACATTTGCTCCTAAAATGTTATAATTTCCCCTAAATTGCATTCTGTTGATGCAACTTTACCATTCCCAAAAGTTAAAGTTTCAACTTGTTGTCCCTTTAATAATATTATGCTAATTAATAACTGACCAAACTATTTATCAAAAACCCAGTCTAATTTATCACATAGTAAAACATCTCTAAATCCTCTTTTTTATTCCTCTATGTAAGAATGCCCCACCCCCTGATGATATAAAGAAAATTTAGCATAGTTTTTCATTGTGAATAAGAAATCTGGTGTGTCAGTTCACTTAACTTTTTTTTTTTTTTTTTTTTTCATCCGTCTTGTCCGATGATCCCATGACCTTCCATCAACCCATCACTGCCAGTGTTCTTTTCTCATCTGAAGCAGTGGGCATCCAGTCATTTCCTTAATGTTCGCATCTCAGCAGCTGCAAACCATCCCTCCTTCTGTAGTTTAGGAGCAAAGTTTGTCTCTGTGCCCCTTGTAGGTTAATCCATCCTGTGACTCAAGAAAGAAAGTGTCCAATGTCTCTCCAAACAAAGATCCATTGTTCATTTTGAAACATTCCCATCCGTAGTGTAGTCAAAACTATTCAAAAAATTTAACATGCGTGCCACGTCTTTTTTTTTTTTTTTCATAAAGGCTAAGATGTTAGTAAACAAACAGAAAACAAACAAACATACAGACACAAACAACGACAAACATGTAAGACAACAAAAACCCCAGTGGTGCCTCCGACTTCTCCAAATAGTTGTTGGTTCATCTTGTCATTCGTTAAATGCCTCTGTCAGCATGACTGCTCTTAATGTTCCACCCCAACAAAAGTCTGTGAGCTTCAAACCACCACATCAATCTGTACCTCATAGGTCATATCAGAACCAGAGAGGAATTAAAACAAACTCAGAGCTCACCAGAATGGCCTTCAGCCGGGAACAAAACATGCAGCCACAATCTCTACACCCTGTCTCTGACATGCTGCATTCTCACACCACCTCTCTCATGTCCTGATCCATGGTTCCGATCCAGTCCAGTTGCTAACCAAGTCAGTCCAGTCAGTCAGAACCTATTCAAATCCTCCTATCAAAAAGTTTTCAACTATCTGAACCCCCCTCTCTCTCTTGCTCTAGTCACTCTCAGCCAAGTTGTCCATTTCACATGCCAGAACTTCTGCAGCTGTTGGGAAAATAAGGGTTAATGCACATCTTAAACAAAACACAATGAAGGATGAGACTTTTGTCAGCCTGTCCTGGAAGAAAAAATGTTAACATTTAAGGATTGTTACAAACACAGCCTGAAAAAGAAAAATAAAGGAACATGTTTAAGAAAAACGATCTCCTGATCCTCCTTAAATGGGCCTCTGAATAATCCTGCCTGCTCCCTGACAGCCGCACTGTCACTCTCTACAAGCAGGGAAAAAGTAAATTACCCCTCTGGTTTGTTACCAGGAAAAAGCAATCAAAAAGTTCATCAATTAGTCAATAGTTAAGCACTTAATTCACAGAAATTTGTAAAGTTAGTAGAATCTAACACGTCATGCAAAGAAAGTAAGGCCCAGATGAACAGTGAAAAGATAAGTGTTAGTAATGATTAGAGATTCAAATTAATCAGTTCGTGCCTAGGCAGTTTCCAAACGGCATTATACACAGATAAAAATAATTATGGATAAAAACTGAAGGCTGAAAAAACCCAGGGTCAGGTCACACCGAAATCGTTCTTAACTCTCCAGCCTTGTTTGTAAAAGTTGACCCCGCTAATCTGCTGAGCTCCTGCGGGTATCTTGGCCATATGCTGTGTCCAGTTCCAGCTCGAAGTGTGATTTAACCTGTTCCTAATCAAACTCTAATAAAGTCCTAATGAGAGAAAAATGAAACTAATCAATCTCTAATGCAATTCTAATGATTGAAAATGAAACCACCTTTAAATTAAAATCATGTAATGCCCCCGTCTGAGATTTTAGTTTCCCAAAAAGTAAAAACACCCATTCTACTTCTTTCTGGATAATTACTTAAATATTTAATTATTTTTCTAATCTATAATCTACTAATCTACAGTATCTCAGCTGCACTCCACACCCAAAAATTACCTCACACCTTACAACAGCAACCTGCTCTGGTCTTGTCACGGCCTCTCATAGGTGGGGCCCCTGAGCAACATGTTTGAAACGATTACCCTTCTGTTATGCCCCCAGAGCTCCTTACCAATCCTGTAAAAATGCAAATCATGTTAATGTCACATCAAAAATATTCTTAATCATTTCCAACTTCACCACACACATTCTACCTCACATGCATTCCACATTTAGGACAGACAGACAGACATTGGCCACATAAAGTTTGTTTAATCCATCAGTATCAATGTAGATTTATCTTCTTAGAGGATTGTTTTTCCCAATTTAAACAAAAATCATAATCTTTTCACCAGTCCGGTCTTAAGACCTCTGCACCAGTGCTTTTCAGCCTCATTTTAGGATCCTTGTTAAACTATATGTGCACATTTATGGAAACCTAAGATTTATTTGCTCACGTTAGACACCAAAATAAGTTTTCACACCCAATGATTTTTTAATTCTAAGCGTCCCCCAAAAATGACATGTTTGAATTTTCAAATATGAGAACACCTCTAAGGGGTTCTGAAAAAGTGGTATGTTTTGTTTTTCTCCTGAAAATCCCATTACCTGTGTAGTTTTTTGCCAGGTGGGCACATAAAGATTTAGGGTGCCGTATCTGGCCCCCGTATCAACGATAAAAGGACAGTTGCTGCCCTCAATCAAAATAACTATCACTCCTGCTGGAAATTTCTCAAAAACTACCTCCATAACTAAACAAATAGTGGGATCCCGGCCTCCCTAGTGTTGCTGCATTGACTTCCTTTCTCTAATTCTTACTGAACCCGCACTTCGATCTTCTTTGCCCATTTCTCTCCTTCTCTATCCAACTCACCCTCCATTTCATCTACTGCTGTCTGCCTCTCTTTTATCCACTGAACTCAACCGTCCTAATTTATCTATTTGATGTAACCCACTCTATTCTGAACAGTTGACTGATTAAAGATCCATTTAATCCACCTTAGAGTATCCTCAGTGATCAGTGTCTAATTTATATTCACTTTGCTACAGTATGACAAACTTAGCTTGTGTGGTCTAACATTTTCAAATATAAGCTCCTGAATCAGTCACTCTACATGCAGATTACAATACCATTCTAGTGTAGTAATTGGTAGATGTCTTTAAGGTAAAAACTGCTTCTAGACTCCTGGGCCCTGCCTTTGCTGTGACCGGCCCTGTGTGCACTCAGTCTCTCTGTGTCTTCTCTTTTTTTTTTTTTTTTCTCCTGCCTCTAAGTGAACGGCTGCTCTGTGTGATCCACCTTCTGGAGCTCAATGTTGGGCCGGGGTTGGGGTTTACAGCACTGAAAATTTACTAATTGATCTTCTTACCTTTAAAATGTTAATTTCAAGACATCGTAAATTGTAAATATATCAACCTTTTATATTTTAAGCTTTCCTTTCCAAGGTTCACCTCCAAAAATCACAGAAACATCGACATTTTCATAACAATAGCGAACTGAAATGCTGAAATGCTTTATTTACCGCCTCCTCTATTAAATCCTGCATCTGAAACTCTTTTCGTACCTCTTGTCCCAATTCTTCCTCTGTAGGCCTTATTTCACAATTTATCTGACCCTCACGCAACTCCATAACAGGCATCTGCACACATGGGTTTGATGGAAACATTGCATCACCAGCCTTACGAAACATTTCTCTGACACCTTGGTGTGGACTGGGGTCCATAATAGGCTCTGTTTCTGCAATATTAGATGTACTCATGAAAGGTTTTTCTTACCCTCTGAAGTGTCGAGTGCCTGCTCACCTCCCTGAGCCCCGTTTTGCTCCTTCTGTTCCTGTTCAGGGTCCTTGTCAGAAAAATAGTTACTAAAATTGAACTTGGTTTGTCTAATCAAATCCAAAAGTTTTGTTTCTTCCTTCTGGTGTTTGTCTCTTCCGAACACACCAGCACCAACCATTTTTTCACGAGCTTGTGACAATCTAATTTTTAGTGTATCCAAATAAAAACCACGTTGTGAAGTGTTTGGAGGGGGCCCCTCTAATTCCCCAAACATTCCATCTTCTCTCATTTTTTCAACCCATTCATCAAATTTTCTAATGTGGTGTTCTGCATCCTTCAATGGATAACTCACCATGATCATATTTCTCCCTTTATCCAGACTCGCTTTTAACGAGGTGTTTCTGGATTCAATTTCTAGTCCACATGCATCCATCTTTCACACCTTCCGTTCACACAGTGTATAAGATCAGACCTCGACGTCTTACGTGAGATCCCTCTGGGCTTTAAACCTTTTCCCTACAACCTTCAGTGAGCCGCTCTTCTGCTAAGGAAGCGCGTCCGTCAACAACTGTGTCCGTCAAGGAAGTGTGTCCGTCAAAAAAATGCGTCCGTCAGTGAAAAGGAAAAAAGAAAGGAAATTTAGAGAAAAGAAAAGATTTAGATATAGTTCCGCCTAGTTCACTCCACCACTTATGGAATTAGACAAACAAGTTGCCTAATTCGGGCCTCGGCCTAATATGTTTTATGGGGATTATTTTATCGTTTCTCTCTTTCCTTTATAAGAGAAGAGAAGGAAAGAGAAAAAATGCCCCCAACGGTCCGTTTCACCCGGATCCCCCCCACCAGTCTCAGTTTTTCGTAAATGTCCTTATGGGAGGTATACTGGCAAACTCTAGCCGGCTATGTGACTGGGTCTGTGCGTCTGTTTTCAGAAGTGCATCTTTCGTGTCTGCAGGCAGACCGGGAATAAAATCACCGTCCCTTTCTGCATGCAGAAACCGTTGGGCTTCCAACCAACTTTATCCTAGTGAGTAGTATAATTCTTGAAGACGTTTGCGCAGTCGCCTTCAGTCGGACTTTCAACCGCTACCCACAGCAGAACGCACGACTTTTTTCTCTCTCTCTTTTTTTTTTTTTTTTTTTTTTATGTGTAGACGTTCGCAATGTAAAAGAAAAAGAAACCCAACTAATACAACCAAACAAAAACCGCAAAAACAAAAACTAAAATCACTCTGAGCAATTTCTCTGTCCTCTTTTGCATAAAAAACTTCAGCTCACTTCAGAAAATCACAACACAGCCAAAGTGTTTTAACAGTAAAAACACTGGAGATATTTTGTAATAAGGAATCTCCTCACCTTATCAGTTGTTTCGGCCGCAGGCTGTGGAGCTTTTTCCGTCGGTGGCTCTGTTGTCCTGCTTCCAGGTCACGGGCGGAAACACCAATTTGTTAAAGTGTTAGTAGGATTTGTCCCCTTCAAAGTAAAGGCTGTAACGCCCCGGGGCCTCCTCACACGGTTCTTTTCCTGGGAGCAAGTTATTTACTACTCTTAACTCAAACTCGGTAAAACCATATGAAAAAGGACTATAAAAACAGGAGTAAAAAAGTAACAGAGTTTATTCCAGATCAGGTCGTTACAAGACAGAGAAAAATGCTTAGAGCTATGCACAGCTGTGGTCTCAAAAATCACGTCCGCAAGCGTCCGGCAAAGTTTGAGCCCCGAACAACGTCATCACCTGCTTCTTATACCTTCTGAGTCTGTGTCACATCATGTGGATGCTTAGCTGTCCGTATCAGAAACTGACACGCCATCCATGTCTTGAACTCCATGCAGGTTGCCTCTCTGTCTCAGGGTTACAGATACAGCCGCTCTCCTATCAGACCGGCTCCAAGATGTGCCCATATCCTTTGTGCTCTTAGAGACACAAAGGCTGTCTTGATTAGATGACCTCCGTACACACCGTGATATCCACAATGTGAAGGAAGGCCTTCTGCTCTGTCTAATCTGACAAACAAATTAACAGTGCACATGATGTATAAATAATAAACCCTAACAGGTTGGACCCCCTTTTGCCTTCAGAACTGCCTCAATTCTTCTTGGCATAGATTCAGCAAGGTGCTGGAAGCATTCCTCAGGGAGTTTGGTCCATATTGACATGATGGCATCACACAGTTGCCGCAGATTTGTCGGCTTCACATAAATGATGCGAATCTCCCATTCCACCACATCCCAAAGATGCTCTATTGGATTGAGATCTGGTGACTGTGGAGGCCATTTGAGTACAGTGAACTCATTGTCATGTTCAAGAAACCAGTCTGAGATGACATGGTGCATTATCCTGCTGAAAGTAGCCATCAGAAGTTGGGTACATTGTGGTCATAAAGGGATGGACATGGTCAGCAACAATACTCAGGTAGGCTGTGGCGTTGCAACAATGCTCAATTGGTACCAAGGGGCCCAAAGAGTGCCAAGAAAATATTCCCCACACCATGACACCACCACCACCAGCCTTAACTGTTGATACAAGGCATGATGGATCCATGCTTTCATGTTGTAGACACCAAATTCTGACCCTACCATTTGAATGTCGCAGCAGAAATCGAGACTCATCAGACCAGGCAACGTTTTTCCAATCTTCTATTGTCCAATTTCGATGAGCTTGTGCAAATTGTAGCCTCAGTTTCCTGTTCTTAGCTGCTGCAGACAGGAAAGCTCTGCAGAGAGTAGTGAAGGCTGCACAGAGGACTGTTGGAGTCAACCTCCCCACCACCACAGACATCTACACCTCCAGATGCAGGAAAAGGGCCTCCTGCATCATGAAGGACCCCACTCACCCAGCACACTCACTTTTTGTCCCGCTACCCTCAGGCAGGAGACTGCGGAGCATCAAATGCAGGACAATCAGACTGAGAAACAGCTTCATACCAGAAGCTGTGAGACTATCAAACTGTCCCTAACAATAACTTGGTCACTTCAACCCCTAACCCCCCCAATGACACTGTATTTACAGTTTACACTCGGACACTTTAAAATGTTGCACTGCTAAATTTATCTTCCCACGCTGCTACATTACTCATACTTCATCCATCCTGTACATTCCTATTAATATACATTTTATTCTCTACTTCTTGTTTTTATATATCTGTAAATATTTTTTTCTATTTATATAATTTGATCTTGTAGCTAGTTTTTATAATTTATTTTTTTTATATTCGGATGTAACTGGGGCCGTGACTCTCAATTTCGTTCTACCTCATGTAACACGTGATGTGAATGACAATAAAGTCTCTTGAATCTTGAATCTTGAAAGGAGTGGCACCCGGTGTGGTCTTCAGCTGCTGTAGCCCATCTCCCTCAAAGTTCGACGTAATGTGCGTTCAGAGATGCTCTTCTGCCCACCTTGGTTGTAACGGGTGGTTATTTGAGTCACTGTTGCCCTTCTATCAGCTCTGGCCATTCTCCTCTGACCTCTGGCATCAACAAGGCATTTCCGCCCACAGAACTGCCGCTCACTGGATGTTTTTTCTTTTTCGGACCATTCCCTGTAAACCCTAGAGATGGTTGTGTGTGAAAATCCCAGTAGATCGGCAGTTTCTGAAATACTCAGACCAGCCCTTCTGGCACCAACAATCATGCCACGTTCAAAGTACTGATGCTCGGTTTGAACTGCAGGAGATTGTCTTGACCATGTCTACATGCCTAAATGCACTGAGTTGCCGCCATGTGATTGGCTGCTTAGAAATTAAGTGTTAACGAGCAGTTGGACAGTGGCAGGTGAGTGTATATATGTATGTATGTATATAGATATATATATATATATATATATATATATATATATATATATATATATATATATATATATATATACACATACATACATATATACTTAGAGATTCACTTCATGTCTTTCGGTTGTGCTGTTCTTTTTTCATCTCGTTACAGGTTATGAAGCAGACTGAAAATGTTTTGTCATTGTCTCCTTTCTATCTCTTCTTTCTTTCATCTTTTCACCGGAGAAAGAAGGAGAAAAATTAAAAAAAATAAAATAAAAAATACTCAGAACTTGTGGCTGAGTGCCGGAGGAATGGCTGGAAGGCCCGCTGCGAGCCTATTGAAGTGGGCTGCAGGGGCTTCGCAGGCAGATCTCTACATCGTGTCCTTGGACTCCTAGGGATTTGCGGTCTGCAGAGACAATGAGCCACCAAGAACATCTTGGAAGCAGCTCAAAGGGCTTCACGGTGGCTCTGGTTGAGGAGGGGTGAGGCGTGGCGTAGTGCGCTACCTGGACACAAGTCGGGGAACTGATCACCCCTGGCTGGGTGTATGACTAAGACCCGAAACACCCAGTGATCTCGGGAGAGTCACTGAAGATGTGTCCAGGTTTGCAACACTAGGTGTATTACAATTCACACACACACACACTATATATATATATATATGTGCACAGTATCTTAGCTGATCCTAGGACTTCACTCTTCTGGACAGAGACCTCTGATGTTTTACCTGGTATCTACTGTAGCACAAACACTGCAGAACATACATGTAAACATAACCCCCAAAACCCAAGAAGAGATTTTTTCCCAGTTTAGGGGAACATTTGAGTGGTGCCCCCAAGTACCTCTATGTCACCAAAATGTACTATATTTAACTAAAATTGGCCTTACACTGTCCTTGCAAGGTAACAAAAAGAAATCCACACATATTCCTCTACACACAGTTTAGCCCATCTATGTGGAATCTCAGCCAAGCCACAAGATGTCACATTTTGGTTCATGTTTGTGGACCCAAATGCAGATGCAGGGAGGCAGAGATTCTTGTAGATTTAATCAGAGGAAACAGTTTAACAAAGGCAGGAATCCAAAAATCCAACTGAAAATGTAAAGCAAACCAGAACCATGGAGGCATCAGGGGAAACCAAAGACGAGGAGCGAGGGAGAGACGAGGTATGAAGAAAACAAGATGAGAAGCCAGCAACGACAAGGAACCAACAAGGAGTGACAGCAGAGGAAGAGAATGTATAGTTGACTCAGACAAAGGCAGGGCTAACGAGTAGATAAGGAGCAAGTGTGAGAGGAGAGCAGCCCTTAGGACGGTATTAAGATAACAGCTGATTTGAAATTGCCATAATAACCCCTGTTCTCTAGTGGGTGTGGTTCGGAACAGGTGTGCTCAGTTGTGCTCTGAATCACTGATGTCTGAGGAAAGAACAATGATGCATGCTTTAACAGGTTCTCACACATTCATCCTTATACACACTTTAGATAAGAATTTTTAGTGAAAGTCTTTGCAAAATTCACAATAAATTGCATTTAATTGTTTATTTGAAATTCAATTCAATTCAGGTTATTTATATAGCGCCAAATTAACAACACATGTCATCTCAAGGCACTTTACAGTTCAACCAGATCATACAGTCAAATTGATACAAAGTTTTCTATCTAAGGAAAACCAGTTGATTGTATTGACTCATTGACTCAAATACAATGCCTCACACTAAGCATGCTTGTAGTGACAGTGGAGAGAAAAAACTCCCTTTTAACAGGAAGAAACCTCCAGCAGAACCAGGCTCATTGTGAGCGGCCATCTGCCGAGGCCGACTGGGGTTCAAAACAACTTAAATAAAATATTCTGTCCATGAGTTAATCAAAGGTTGATCAGCTGATGAATCAAAGCTTCATTCATGCAACAAAAATTAGAACAATGGGGAAGAAAAACTGGTTCAGATGCATCGTGTTTCACACAGCAGTTACACTTTCCAATTAAACTAGGTTTAGAGTCTCAGGGTGAATAGTTTTTTGGTTGAGATAGACAGAAATCTGAGGTATTTTGACATTTCGACCTTTAAAGTCAAAAGCTATAATTTCCTCTGATGCCCTGTTGCAAGGGTTGTTTGTGGGGGTAAAATTAAAAGAGACCACACAAGGATTTTCTTTAAAGTGAAAATTGAATTTATTAAATTATAACAAAGAAAACAGAAAAAGGGATAAATAAAATGGGGAATAGAAAATGGCTTAATGCAAAACTAAATAATAACTGAACAGAAATAAGCAAATGCAAACAAACCTAACAAAACCTAGCATAGGATAGGATACAAACCAAACGGGGTTCTGAGTAGGTAAGAGGGAGAAGCCTCCTGTCTGCTGCTTGCATGACAGCTTTTAAAGCAGACGAGCACCAATTAGGGCGAAACAGATCACCTGCAGAAGGCCTGCATCCAGAACCCTGCAAGGAAAAGTGCAGAAACCCACTGCAGCCATAACATGCCCATGTTCTTGTATTTAGTTAATACTACATAAAAAACATCTTTTTATTGTGTTTATAGTCTATCTTAGTTTTCACTCTGTATGCAGTGTTTACCAGACATTTACTCACAGTTCTATCAACATATTTTTCGTTACATATTTATATCCTCCCCCAATTTGTTTTGTTACATTTTAGAAGTTTTTTTTT